TTTTGCCAGTGCAGATAGCATCTTTCTACCCCCGAGTATGGTCTTGAATTAAAACAAATAAGTAACTTTTGCTTATAGTGCTTTTCTGCTGAACTAGAAATAACTTGGAGATGGTGTTGAAATGTGTCACTCCCTGGCTCAGAACCTTCAAGAGCTCCTCATTTCACGCCAAGTATACGTCAAGTCCTTTCCAGTGGACAGAGAGGCACTTCTCCCTACCGGGGATCCTTACCTTCTACCTCTCCTACCCTTTTATTCACCCTTCCTTCTCACTCTCCTCCAACCCACATGGGCTCTTTTGCTGTTTCCCAAACACCTACCACAGGGGCCTCTGGGCAGATTTTCCCTTTGTCTGGAATACTCCTCTGTTGGCTGGTAACTCGACTCGCCTTTAATATGATGTCTTCACTGAAACCCTCTAGACCTGCTCTGGGCTTCCCTGGTGGCTCAGCCTGCCAATGCAAGAGACACAGGCTCCATCCCTGGGTTGGGAAAATTCCCCTGGAGTCGGAAATGGCAACCCACTCCAGTATCCTTGCCTGGGAAATCCCATGGACAGAGGAGTCTGGTGGACTACAATCCATGGGGTCTCAAAGAATTGGACACGACTGAGCAACTAACACTTCACACACACACACACACACACACACACACACACACACATTTTTTCTGCATTGCATACTTGTGGAATCTCAGCTGGCCAACCAGGTATTGATCCCAGACCATGGCAGTGAAAGCCCAGAATCCCAAATACTAGGCCACCAGGGAACTCCTAAGGCCATTCTATTTTTAATTTTTGTCCTTAGCATTTAACCATCCAACATAGCTTTAGTCACTTTATGTTGCTGATTGTTCATTATCTGCCTCCCTGCTGCTAGAATCTAAGCTTCATCAGCAAAGAGATCTTCCTCTTCTTTCTTAAGTGGTTTGTCCCAATTGTCTAAATGAGCTTATTCCATAGAAGTCTCTGTGATGATGGAAACATATCTGGTAGATATAAGCCGCCCATGCTTATTGAACATTGAACATTTAAGTTGTGGTTAATGCCAATGAATCCCTAAAATTGAATTAAATTTTAATTCTATTTAATTTTTTATTAATTGAAACTCAAATAGCCACATGTGACTAGTGGCTTCCTATCATATTAAACAGTACAGATCTTGAAAGTTTATTTATTGAATGAATGAATGTCCGGCTCTCTAGATCAATGTTTCTTAAACTTCAGAGTGCAAAGAGATAACCTGGATTCCTAGGGATGTTGTTAAAAGTGCTGATTCTAATTCATGAGTTCTAGGGCGGGGCCCAAGATTTTGTGTTTCTAACAAGGTCCCAGCTGATAGCTTCTTATACTTAGTAGCAAGAATCTGGAAGACTAATGCTTCCTTGCTTTTTGTTTGTGTGCTTACAGGCTATGTGGTTCCTCATTTCTTGGACTGGAGAAATTACTAAAAATTACCTGTTAGACCCAAATAACAGCCTACAGGCTCAAAAGCCTAGATAAAGAGAGTGATTTATTCCCTTTTCTGGGATAAGAAAATTATACTTCTTGTCCCTTTTCTCTCTAATTTGGTTGAATTCAGTTGTGGTTAATTTAGAAAAAAAATTTTTTTTTTTTTGCTTCAATTCTGGTTACTTCTGTGACAGTTTGCTGCTGCCTAATGTGCCCACTTGACTTGCAATCTATTTTTCCAGGTCACTGAGGATGTGTGCTATTTACCCTTCACAAAGAATTTTCGAGTGGTGCTGGACGACTCAGTCCTACATCCTTCTATTATCTGAGATTGTTGGCTAAATCAAACTCCCTCAGGAAAAAAAAATATATCATCAATCTTTTCCATTGCTACAATCACATTGTTCATCTACAGAATAAACATCACCTAGTTATTCCCTCAGGGAAGAGTTTAAATCTTATTCATACTCCTTACATTACCGGAAATCTGTGGTCGTTCTTCTTAATTATCATGTATTTTTCAGGTGGATTTCCATCAGAGTGGTAAATCTTGGTGCAGATAAATTTTAGGTGTTTTAGTATTTAACAACAATTAAGGTACTCATGAGTATTGTAATATCACCTGATTTATCATTCTCCCACAGGCTCTTCACAAATATATCAGAGGCACAATTTCAGGAAAAAAAGGATAAAATCATCTTAAAAACTCAACTTTGTTTTGTTTTTCTTGGAAGAGGATGAGGAATGGCTATGTATCTGAACTCTTCTGGCCGAATGCTGGTCTAGTTTTCCAGCCTATCTTCTGGGCCTGCATGAATGTTTTCCTGTGTGCTCAGTCACTTCAGTATAGTGTCTCACTCTTTGCAACCCCATGGACTGTAGCCTGCCAGGCTTCTCTGTCCATGGGGATTCTCCAGGCAAGAACGCTGGAGTGGTTGCCATGCCTTCCTCCAGGGAATCTTCCTAACCTAGGGATTGAACCCACATCTCTTATGTCTCCTGCATTAACAGGTGGGTTCTTTACCACTAGTATCCAAATGTTCTTGTACTTCAGGGCTATTAACTGGAAATCAACATGTCTTCTGTGGTTTTTGCTTGTGGTTTTCTCTTTCCTCTGCTTACAATGCTCTATCCAATCCCTGTAGCTTCCTCCCCAACACCTAAAGACAATGTTCTCAACATAGTAGTCATATTTATTGGCCACTTGTGTGTAGCAGGCACTGTTCTAAGCACTTTACATATATCATCTCCTTTGATTCTCACTGCAGTGATCTGAGCCAGGAGTTACAGTCCTCCTTTTGCCAATAAAGAAAAAGAGGTTTAGAGAAGCCATATAACTTGCCCAGTAAGTAGGGAAGCCTGGGTTTGATCCTGGGTTTGTCTTGTTTTAGTATCCTTGCTCCTAACTCTTAGGCTATACTGCTCAGCTTTTCCTTCTCCCTGGGACTGTCCTCCTTTCTCTTATTTACTTTGAGGTAGATGACATAGTTGTCATTAAACAGGACTTGGGGTCCAAGCTCATGGTTCTCTACTCAGTCTTCTCCTAGCACTTTGAATCTGCCCTTGCCATTTCTCATATGTTTTAGAGTAATATGCTTTTCTCCCTGCCCAACTTTCTTGGAGCCAGGGGGAGCATATTTTACTTACCTTCGTATCCTCAGTGTTTTCATTAATTGTAGAAAGCTGTTGTGACTTTTCCAGATTTGGATTTCTAGATAGTAAATTGTCCATAATAATGGCGAAACTTGAAGCTATATGCTTTATTATAAAGCAGGAGGGGAATACTCAGTGTACCATATTTAAATATAATGATCCAATTGGGTAGACTCAACTGAAGCTAAAACCTTTTAAAGCCCACCTTTAGTGCTTTGAAGAAGAGCCTGGGGCTCTGCTGAGAGCCTGTACAGCTTATAAGCTTATAGGTTCCTTGTAGGTTGAAACAACGGTAACTTTAGTGATGTGCTGGTAAGTGTTTAACCACTGGCTCTCCAGGAAAAAAAATGTGTGTGTATGCACATGTGTGCATTTATTGTAAATCTTACTGATATAAAGTGTATGTAGACTATAATTTGAGCTTCCCTGGTGACTCAGCGGTAAAGAACCTGCCTGCAATTCAGGACACCTGGGTTCAATCCCTGGGTTGGAAAGATCCCCTGAAGGAGGGCATGGCAACCCACTCCAGTATTCTTGCCTGGAGAATCCCATGGACAGAGGAGCCTGGCAGGCTACATTCCACAGGGTTGCACAGAGCTGGACATGACTGAAATGACTAAGCACAGTAGCGTATAATTTATAACTAATAATAAAATAATCACTACTCTTTATTGTAAGTTCCAGAAGCCAATAGATTCTTGTGTAACACTATTGTTGATTTTGTAAAACCCATATATATCCATTGGAGAAGGCAATGGCACCCCACTCCAGTACTCTTGGCTGGACAATCCCACGGACGGAGGAGCCTGGTGGGCTGCAGTCCATGGGGTCACTAAGAGTCGGACATGACTGAGTGACTTCACTTTCACTTCTCATGTTCATGCATTGGAGAAGGAAATGGCAACCCACTCCAGTGTCCTTGCCTGGGGAATCCCAGGGACAGCGGAGCCTAGTGGGCTGCTGTCTATAGGGTTGCACAGAGTCGGACACGACTGAAGTGACTTAGTCGTAGTAGTAGTATATATCTGTAGCCAGTCTGTGTTTGCAACTGATGAACAAGTATAGTTCTGTCAAAAATATTCTGTAAGCTTTAAATGCTGAAAGAATATTTCAATAATTTTTTTTGTTCCACTTAGAGTATAACAACTACAGATGTAGGACATTTTAAGTTTAATCTGCATGTTCTCTGTCTCTCTCAAGTGAGCAAAACAATATCAAGCCTTGATTTGTAGCATTTTCTCATTGGGCCATTTTTAAACTACCAATGTAAATTTACTGAAGGTGGACTTGGGCAAAGATGCACAGTAGCACCCTATTATCCAGCTGTTCCATCATACAGCTGTAGCAGATGCAAGGCACTTTAAGAGGAAAGGTGATATAGAATTGGAAAGTGATGAGTTTTGAGTATTTACTTTAAAAATATTTTTTATTTAATTGTAAATTATAGTTTATAAAATTAGGTAACTTAATTTTTAATAATCATTATATTTAAAAACTGCCTCACAAAATTCTTAAAATTTAACAATGGGCTCTTGTAAGTCTAGAAATGGCTTCAGCTGGACCACTGGGTCGGTCCAGCTCAAAAGTGAAGTTTGATTATCAGACTCAGTTATGGAGAGGATGAGGCTTGAATTCCAGCTCTGAATTTTACTTTTAGCCCATAGATTAAATTACTTACTATTTATTTAAGCATATTCTATGTCATAAAGTAAGTCTCAAGTAAGTTTTTGTGAACCTAAAAGATTTCCCAGATCGATCAGGCAAGACTGGTGAAGAAACGTGCATTTAATATCATTGAGTCCTCTCTTTGAGCCAAGCCCTGTGCTAAGAGCTTTTGTTGTATTATCTTGTCTGGACTTCTCAGGAGATAAGGACTATTACTACCTTTTTTCTATAGATGGAAAAACCAAGGCTTGGAAAAAAAAATCAAAGGCACATTGACTCACCCCGGATAAACTCATGTCTTCTACAGAGCAAAGCAGAGAAGAGAGGAAGAGGAAAAATGGTAGATGAAGAATATAAAACAGGCTCTTTTTATTATATTTCTGTTTCTTTCTCTTCCTCACCGCATTTTTCTTCTTCTTGATGTGGGGGTGTGTTGGGAGAATGTCCCTTTCTTCCCCTAAGTATGAAAACATTCCATCCTTGTTGTAAAACAACAGAAAATACATAAAAGTATAGAGGTAAACATAGAAATGACTTCTTATTTTATTACCCAGAGGTAACTAAGATTTTAACTTTTAGAAGTATTTATCAATAAAATTTTATCTGCATAAATATTATCTGTAAATAATATATGGCAAAATGTATGTTTATTTTTATTTATTCAACAATTGTTTCTTTACATTGTTATTTCCTGCATTTGGAAAGGGTTATCCTTTTGATAAATAGAACCCTTAGCTTTTTGGAAAATAAAACTTGGGACTGCAGAAACAGAAGCTACATATAATCACTACATCTTTTTCTATTTGTTGCAGGCTTTTCTCACAGGAGATAGTCAACAGATATATTAAGAAGCACCACATGAGTAATTTGAGCTTCTGTGATTTCTGTTTCTTACTTTTCTCCATGCTTTGTTAGGTGGCAAGTAGGAGAGCCAGCATTTGAATCTTCCAGAAATTCAGTATCTGCTTCCTGGATAATTTCATGTATGATCTAACACTGAGAACATTTGCCCTATTTCTTGTCCTGTAAATCTGAATTCTTCTGAATTCTGTTTGTTAGTGCTTTTGTTGATAAGAAAGAAAGGTAAGATTTTAAGGTACTAAGTGTCTATCCATTTGAAAAGGAAAAGCAAACCAAAATTCATATCTGGGTTCAGGCTAGATTTTCACATAGCTAGCTCTTTGGAGACATTGCCCATGAAGAACAAAACTGTATGGAGTGACATTTGGTCACCGACCTCACTGAGAGTACTTCTGGGGCCTTTAATCTACGGTAGCAACAATCATGTTTGACCACAGTTAGTGAAGCGTTTCCTCTTTTACATTCAGTTATGTGACCAGTGAAATCATTTAATAAGCTTTGTCCTGCAGCCCATGATATATAAGTCCCGTGTGAGCTGGCCTAATAAATCCTTATCCCTGTCTTGATCTTCAGATGTCTAATGGGTCATATTATTCTGAAAGAAATGTTGTCGGATTGTGTGTACAAGATTACGTTGGTTATTTTCCTATTTAGGAGACTAACCTATATAGAGATGGAAAAATAATGTCTAACTGGAAATTAGAGGCTGGAGAGAAGAATATATTCTGTATTGACAATTGCTAAACATAGGCAAGGTAATGTTTAAAACTTTATTGTCTTTACAGCTTTTAAAAACACTGTCCTGAAAACAAAGGCATATACTTAGGGTTCCAAGAAGAAAAGCCGTCTCTTGTACATTAATCAGACTTGCTCTGTAAAGACTGTTTCCTGAGAAACCATAGTGGTTATTAACAGAAGCAATGTATAATATATCTATTTTATAGCATATTGTTAATGGCAGTGATCATATTTCATTTTAAAAATCATAAAATTTGTTCTCTTTTGAAATATTTTGATAGCTTGGTTTAAATTACAGTTTTGTTACAGTATATTTTCTGTTGGCATTGTTAGACTATTACAGCTTTATATACTTAGTGATAACTAGCTTCTTGATGATCCATTTTTCTTTTTTCATCCATACTTTGTTCCTTGCATGTAACCATAAGCCTATAATTATACAGATTTTTTTTTCCTTAAAAAGAAAAAGAAAAACCAAACAGAAGCTCGTCTTTCCAGAAATAAAACCCAGTTTTACCAGGGAATTTAAAGCTTAGTATCAATAGAAGTCTTAGTTGGGCCTCTTTCAAAATCTAGTGTATTCATTTTCAAGTGCTAAGTTGAATAAAGTTAGTATCTAGAGTTCTCTTCTCTATTGTTTGATTAGGTTTTCTTTTAGGGAAAACAAGGTTGAGTTTCACATGAAATGATGTGTTACACATTTTTGTAAAAGTGAGTTCTTTAGAATTTAGCCTTCTCCCTCCTTTTTCTTCCTTAGAAAGAGATTTATGACTTACTCTGTGTAGGTCATGTGCAAAGACACTTGTCGATGACAAGAATATAACCCTCGTGTGCAGCAGTATCTCTTCTATTCTGTTTGGATCATAAATTTCACTTTATAATATATGTTGTATTATCCCATTATTTTTCCAATTTACGATTGGCTTTTATAATACTGTCCAAGATGAAAATCATATGAATAAATGAAGATGTTATCTTAGACATCCCTTTTACTCTGGTGCCTGGAGACCAGATAGTCTGACTTGAATAGAACAAGAAATGACAGCTTTTCTCTGAGAGTTTTGAGTAGGAATGTGAAAGAGGTCCATGGGAGCCAGCTCCTGGATAATGTTTAAAGCTATAGAGCAAAGAATTTCCTTTTGCATTAAAACACCAAGGCATGAAGAGAGTTAAATGTGCTACATAGCATCACACTATACAGAGTATCAGGGTGAAAGAACCTGCAAGCCACTAAACTTTTGGAATCTCATTAGATACTGCTACAACAGCAGTTTCTGTTCCCGTATATGGTAATCTATTAGACCTCCTAGTCAATATTTTGAAGTGATTCAAAATATACTTATTGATTGGTCTTATTTTCAAAATGTGCATCCATGCTTAGTTGCTAAGTCGCATCTGGCTCTTTGTGATGCCATTGGCTACAGCCCACCAGGCTCCTCTGTCCACGGGATTTCCCAAGCAAGAAAATTGGAGTGGGTTACCATGTCCTCCTCTAGGGGATCTTCCCAACCCAGAACCTGAATTTCCTGCATTGGCAGGTGGATTCTTTAACCATGGAGGCAGGCACCCGGGAAGCCCACTTCTGAAATGTACTATTGATCTATTCATTCTTTGCTCCCTCCCACCTCCTGCATGCCCCTATGAAACATTGAATTGTACCTTATAACATTTGAAGGAATAAAAAAGAAAATATTTAATAACAAAACTGAACTATTTTATATTAGGGACATGCTGAAATAGTTTTCTAATAAGGAAAAATTCTTCATAATCAATCTCAACTGTTTGAACTGATCTCAAATATAATCTTTTGTTACATATACAGGCAATACATACATAAAATTAATTATGAGGTAGTAATGGGTGCATTGCAGCTGATATATCAGATATTTTATATGTTAAAAATAAGCACACAGATCCTTTCTCAGGAAGGTTCCTCCCACGAAAGGCCAGTACGGCCTAATTTTTCTACTATGTAAAAACAGGAAAACCAGACTTCAAAGGAGAAATTGTCATTTAATTTAATTGTTCATGCCTTATTTATTTCATTACTCTGAGGATGACTGCTGGTCTGTCTAATTTAGAATCTCAGTGCTATTCTGTCCAGTTTATTATCTTTAAGGTTTATCAGCTGTGCAATCAAGCTGAACTATTTGCCTTTTGTTGAAGATAGATACATTTAAAGAGAATGAGGACCCTGGGGACAATGGAAATAGTTACAATGAGGTTTAAATGAGAACACATATTTGTTTCATGCATGAGAGAAGGGGGTGACCCCCCAAAAAGAGAAGTAAATGGGTGATTAGATTAAATACACAGTGTTTTATAATTTATTTTTAGTTTTTGACAGTTTTGGTTTGTTAGCAAAGGGGAGAATATTGGAAAGATTCCACTTTACCTTAATCTCAGTAGCCTTAAAAATCTTTGCTTTCGACTTACATTGCTGGAATGATATATCAGGTTGATGGACTGTCTCTTATGGGTATCAGACTGATCAACAATCTCATGGGCCTTAGAAAGGTTTGCTTCACAGTCAAATCCCCTTTGTGGTTTAACTTAGGAGACCCACAATTAAATAACTCTTCAGAGAAACTGAAAATTGGACATTTACTTCTCCTTCAATCTCAGGTAAGTGATAAACATACATGACGTTTGAATTATTCAAAAGCTGTTTGCTTTACCATTTGCTGACAAGTAAAGTTTCTAGAACTGTTTCGCATTTCTTCTAAACTGAAAGAAGCAAAACAAAACCCAAGGCTTTTTTTCCATGATTAGTCACTTGTATCATAGTGCTATATTGATGGGTGCCTCTTTTGAAGACAGACAAAATATGTATTTAAATCTGGCTGGGGAGACTTCGGAAAAATTCCTTACCTTTTCTTAGCCTTGGTTTCAGTCTGTAAAATGAAAGTGATAAAAGTACTAACTTTATTATTATTATAAGTTTATGAAAATTAATTTATGCCTATATACTATTTGACATATAGTGGTTAAAAACTAATTGCTGTTATTTTTATTACTGTTACTGATTTGTCTTAGCACTCTATTCCTCTCCTTGAATTACAGTAGCGCTGTTGTTATTGACCCCTTCCATGTCTTCTTTTACCCTTTTTGATAGAGTGCCCAGCTTTGAAATATGCTTTGTTACCATTCTCCTCAGTGTTTTGTGGCAGGTCTTTTTTTTTTCTTCTTTAAGTCACTTCTGCCTGAGGCAGGTGTTCCTTTTCAGTGTCAGCTGATTAGTCTTGTGATTCTGAGAAGTATGATAGAATAAATCAATACCTTTGTAGAAGAGATGTCCCTTCTTTACAAAATTCTTCACCGTAGTATTTCAGCAAATCATAATTTGTTCATTTCCTCATTCAGTTGATCATTTCATAGAAATATGTGGAGCATATTAGTTACCAAAGTAATACAATTGAATGATTTTTGGGCCCTGTCTTCAAGAAATCTCATGTGGATCCAGATGTGTCCTTAATCATGGGTGATGGATGTACAAGTTGTACAAGTGATGCACCTGATTCAGAGAAAGAGAAAAAACAAAACTGTCATGGGAAATAAGGCCTAATTTTTCCAAAACATGTGTTTCCTGCCTTCATGGTTCTTGCATGTGTCCAGAAGTTCCCTAAAGAATCTCCATAACTGTTTTTATCATTCAGCTTATCTTCCAATTAAACTTACTTTCCTTCAATTAACATTCAAAATAAGTAAATCTCATGCACACTTTTATTTTAAAATTGCTTGTCTTGCCATAGGGCTGTTTTTATGGTATTTTACCCACATGTGTACAGGTCAGCTTTTGTGGAAAAACCTGAGCATCTATACCCCTTCATGATATGTTTCTGTATTCCTATCAATGTGTATCTCATGTTTATAAATTGCCTCTGTGCTTCATATGAGTTTTTCCTTAGGTTGGGCACACGTATAGGTAATTCACACACAGAGTGCTTCTCTCGGAGCCCAGTATACAACTCTATAGTTGCTCTGAAAAGCCAAGTGCTCATATAATTTGTGATGGAGCCATACAACTGAGGGTTCTTGTGCACTCTGATGCTGTGAATCAGATTTCACAGAGAAAGAAATGTCGAACAGAGACAAAGTCTGGCTTTCATCTACACTGGGGGACCTGCAGGCTCTTATCCATAAATGGCCCATTATAAGTAAGTAGCTTTTAGGAAATCAGGCAACATAAGTTTATTTTTCTTTAAGGAAATGACTCCTAAGTGGTAAGTTCCCAAACCCACTGTGAATTTTCAACAGTGCTTATCCTGAACTGAGCATTTCTTTGCCCTATTCTCTTTCTTTGTTCTACTGTCTTGTTTTACTGTTTTGGCAATTTGGTACACATTTTTGCTGTTTCCTGTGTCCCACCCTAGGGATGAATGCTTTATTACTTTTAAAAATCTTTGTTCCATTAACCAGCAGATTTTCATTAATCATTCATCACCTTCCCTTTTCCCTCTACTTCTTGTCCCTCTGTCTTTTTTCTACCCACCTGCTCCTGTCTTAAATTATGGTTAATGTGATAAGAGGCCCTGCCTAGGAAATCAGGTGGCTGATGAGCTTTCAGAGAGTTTCTTAAATGCGTTTACAACTTTCTTGAGAGCACATCCTCTTTGGACCTTTTCCCTTTTGTTTGGAAGAGGCCTGTACAGATGGCACAGATGTTTACAGAGGCCTGTGAAAGTAGACAAGTGAAGGAGCAGTCTCAAAATAGTTATGTCTTTGGACAGTTTAACAAATTGTCTTCAACAGTTATTACACTGACAACGTTTTTCAAAAAGAAAGAAAAAGAGAAA